TATATTTAACTATAACAGTTATTAGTTAACTAAAACTAAAACCATAAAAAATTGTTAACTGAAATAAAATGTAAAAATAACTTATTTTTAATTTTTTTTTTAAAAACTTTTTTCAGCTAGTTATACTAAGGCAACACTTCTCATTTTCATTTACTTTAATGAACTAAATAAACTAAAACTAATAAATAAACATTAATAAAACAATATAGACACATTTAAAAAACATTTAGAATAGAAAATAGAAAAAACTATATATAAATCAATATATTAACAAAAACTATAATAGATAAACTACAGTAGTCAACATTTGAAGTGGATCAAAACCTTTCATCAAAGTTGTCCTAAAACCAAAACAATACCCGTTCTTGTCTTAGGACAACTTTGATAAACTTTTTTGATCCACTTCAAATGCTGACTACTGTAAATCAATTATACTAAAGTATCTTTGCAACAGGTATTTTTTTAATGCTTTATCCTTCACATGTAATAACCTAAAACACTGTCTAACACTTGATGGCTGCTCTGTCAATTCCTCGTCATCAGTTAGGAACCTAGGTGTGCTATTTGGTAGCAATCTTTCCTTTGAAAACCATGTTTCTAGCATTTGTAAAACCACATTTTTAAATCTTAAAAATATATCTAAATTACGACCTATGCTCTCAATGTCAAATGCTTAAACGTTAATTCATAATAACCTCAAGGTTACATTATTGTAATGCTTTATTGGGAGGTTGTTCTGCACGCTTAATAAACAAACTCCAGCTGGTCCAAAATGCAGCAGCTAGAGTTCTTACTAGAACCAGGAAGTATGACCATATTAGCCCGGTTCTGTCAACACTGCACTGGCTCCCTATTGAACAACGAATACATTTTAAAATCTTGCTAATTACTTATAAAGCCCTGAATGGTTTAGCTCCTCAGTACTAACGCATTATTGTCCTTCACGTCTGCTGCGATCTCAAAACTCTGGCCATTTGATAATACCTAGAATATCAAAATCAACTGCGGGCATCAGATCCTATTCTTATTTGGTGCCCAAACTCTGGAACAATCTACCTAGCGTTGTTCGGGAGGCAGACACACTCTAGACGAACCCTAGAGACAGATCCCGTGTGAAGACCTCGATGACCATCGGCACAAGACCACGGGAACCAGACGAGTCCTCTGCTCAATCTGACGTGCGTTGCAGCCTGGAATTAAACCACGCCATGCTGGTTTCGTCTGGCCAGAGGAGAACTGGCCCTCTGACTGAGCCTGGTTTCTCCCAAGGCTTTTTTTTCTGTCACCGATGGAGTTTTGGTTCCTTGCCACTGTCGCCTTTGGCTTGCTTAGTTGGGGACACAATTTCTGGCGACATTGTTGACTTGAGTGCACAGATACTATTGGAAGAGAACTGAACTGAGCTGGACGATGACATCACTGAATCAACAATGAACTGACTTTAACTGATAAACTGACTGTTTTCTATTGTCCTCTTGCATTATCAGCACTCGTTTTTGCTGTTTAACACTGTAAAGCTGCTTTGACACAATCAGTATTGTATAAAGCACTATATAAATAAAGGTGACTTTACTTGATTTGATGAAACATATCTATTCGAATATGATCTCAGCAGACTATTCATGACAACGGTGAAAGCATTATCCTATCCAATATAACGGGATCCACTTAAAAGTGGATTAAAGCGGCGTCTATCAGCACTATCTGTCTCTAATCTTCCACAAAGAGTGAAATGCAAAAGGCCGGGGGAATATGAACAGATACTTCTACAGGATCCTGCGGTCTAATGCGTTCCCTTCTTCATCTATATGGGTTTAGTGAAAATGCTCGGTGACATTTTAATTCGGGTATTCATGTACCTGCCAGAAATTCCCAGTTCTGTCATTTTTTTTTACGCATTAAAAAGCATCATTAAACACTCTTCTAATATTCTCTCAGGTTTGTGGTGTGCTCAGAGTAATCAATAGGGAATCATGTAATGAAAATTCATTACGCTGTCAAAGACGTGATTTCAGCAAATAATAAATGAATGGCTGTGGGACCTGAGGGACGTACGGAGTGCATATTCAAAGCACAATGATCAAAACAAACAGCATCGTACAAAAACAAATCGCTTTTTGTTCCTGACAAACTGAAGGACTTTCCGTGTCTTTTCCAGTTTTTCGTAACTGGATTTGCAAAAAAAAAAAAAAAGAGTCACAATGGCCTCAGTTACATTGTTTACTAAACTACAAGTTTATTAAAGTTAACTAAAACTAAAACCACTATTTAGTATTAACATAACTAATACTGAAATAAAAAATAATAAAAACTATCTAGAACTATATATAAAAAAACACAACAAAATTACTAAAACCAAAATTAAAATAAAAACTGAAAATTCAAATATAAAAATTAATAATAATGATAGTAAATATTATAAAATCCAGTTATTCGTAACTGATTTAAAAAAGCCTCAACTGTACACGTCAACTGTACACGTTGAACAAGTCAGATCTATTTTATTTCAAGTAGCATTTCCTTGAAAGAAAATAAATGTTAAATGAAATATAAAAAAACTTACATTGACTTTTATTTTAGATTGTTGCCAACTTGACTTGATATACTAAAACGGAAATAAAATATATAAATAAAATAAATGAAACTAAATAAAATTTATTTTATACATATACACTGAACAAAATTATAAACGCAACACTTTTGTTTTTGCCCCCATTTTTCATGAGCTGAACTCAAAGATCTAAGACTTTTTCTATGTACACAAAAGGCCTATTTCTCTCAAATATTGTTCACAAATCTGTCTAAATCTGTGTTAGTGAGCACTTCTCCTTTGATCCAGTTGTTCATAATTGGATTTTGAAAGTAACTTTATAGAGATTGCACCCACAAAGAGCAATTTCTAGCCAATGAAATACAAAGAGCATAACTAGAAAATGTATATGTATATTTTACAGTTAATTTCCATTACTTTTCCAGGCCATGATATTCCCAGCTTTTCCTGAATCATGGGAATCCTGCAAGATTCTCTGTGACATTTAGCATCCGAATACTCACCAACTTAAAGGTCAATACTTTATAGGTAATTGGGTCTTCTACAATCTTCTGAAGGTTAGCAGCCACTGGGAAAACACATGTAGAAAAAGATACTGGCATTAGAACTGTGTGATAGAACTAAACAAATGATATGTGGATATGCAGTATCTCAGTATTCATGTATTTGCTCTGAAATGGCTTGAAGCAGGGGTCTCGAACTCAAATTACCTTGAGGGCCACTAGGCAAATTGTGTGTAGCCATGAATTTTAACTACATGCATTAATTGGTGCAGTTATGGCGTTACTGATGCATGGACAGCTCTTTTCAGAGCTGAGCGACTCATCTTATCTGTATACCTAGCATATTGCTCTGAATGTTTAGTGAACTAATGACCCCTGGAAATGTTTCCCTTTTCAATTTTCTCCTTGCAGATGAAGCCAGTATGAGCTCCATTAAAAGGCCAGAAACATCACGAGTTGCTGTGATGTTATGGTCAGAAGTCATTCAAATATGTATTAATATCTGTAATTAATATTTATATACTATTATTATTATATTAAAATATTAAAATAATAAAATGTTTATTCATAAAAAAAAAAATAATAATAACCTAACAGTAGAGCATGCCGTATGGCAAGATTATGGGTTCGATTCCCAGGAAAATGCATGAAGTAATCACATGTCTACCTTCAATGCCATGAAAATCACTTTAGCTAAAAGTGTCTGCCAAATGCATAAACGTAAATGCAGTATTTAGGGACTAAAATGCACAGCAATCAATTCAAACTTATGGTTTTTGTAAATAAAAGCATTGCATTTCAGTCATACAGGCAAAATAAAGTTGCTGCACTGAGACTGTAACTGATATTACAGGGTTTCTAGAAATATGGAAATAACATTGACTGTACCTTCTGAGCACACTGCAAAAAAACTGATGCTCTTTCTTAGTATTTTTGTCTTGTTTTCCAATACAAATGTCTAAAGATTCTTTCTCAGAAAACAAGACTTCACATCTTCATTTTGCATGTCAAGTAAAGCATCTTGATTTAAGAATGTATATGCAACATTTCATGCCATAACTATGAATTTAAGATTGTTTTGCTCTGATTCAATGCCTTTTGAGACCTTCATTTTTGGAACGGCAAATTAAGACTTCTTAAGGCCTTTTTAAGACCGGGCAGTGTATTGGAGTTTAATATAATGCACATGCAACTGACCCACAACAACATCATGGCCATTGACCAGACCAGCAGAGAAGAGCTCCTGAGAAACTCCATCAGCAGTGTCTGAGGAGAAAAAACACAGACGCACAGCATGATATCACATCAAGAAACCCAAGAGAACACAAAGTTAAAAGCATGTTCTGGCAAACCCACGCACACAAACATCAACAAACAAGTCGCATTGGCCTTGATTGAACTGAACACGTCAGATCTCGAGCTGGGCAGTGTGACGAGATGTAGCAAGCAATGATCAAAAGAAAGCTGAGATTAGTGTTTTATGGTTTACAACTTTTGCCACTTTAAAATATAATCAAATGATGCGCAATCAAATTTCAAATGTGTCAGAATCAGAATCAGAATTTAGAGTTGGAACAAAGAGTTTTATGATTTGCATTTGAACTTTTAAAGAAAATGTTAAATAATGTGTGACTTATTTATTTGTTATAAATAACCTAAATAATTTGTGGTTGCCAATAACAAGAGAACGTGATAGATAGATAGATAGATAGACAGACAGACAGACAGACAGACAGACATCTCAGATCTCGAGCTGGGCAGTGTGACGAGATGTAGCAAGCAATGATCAAAAGAAAGCTGAGATTAGTGTTTTATGGTTTACAACTTTTGCCACTTTAAAATATAATCAACTGATGCGCAGTCAAACTTCAAATGTGTCAGAATCAGAATTTAGAGTTGGAACAAAGATTGTGGTTGCCAATAACAAGAGAACGTGACAGACAGACAGACAGACAGACAGACAGATTGATAGACGGATAGACGGATGGACAGATAAATAGAAAGACAGACAGACAGATAGATGGATAGATAGATAGGTTCACAGAGAGAGAGAGAAAGAGAGATCTGCACACATGCAGAGCTCATTATGAGTCAGAGTGTGAACTGAAGGAATGCTGGGATATTTCTCATGCTGGGCGTCTCTTAAGGTTTCTCTACTGCTAATGCTGCCTTCAAGTCACTCCAAAAAGATAATTTTTATTAGACGCAATGAACACCAGCACAATGTCATAATTACCAGTAGGAAACTGGATTTTCTCTGAGCTCCGGCTTACCGAGCTGGAGTCGTTTCGGCACGGCAGAATTGTATTTCTATTAATCAGTCAGTTTTCAGCGTGTACAGTGACTGCACATTTAGTTCATGGGAGATTCTTCTGGGTTTAATCTATCTTAAAACCTGGAATAAAAATCTGATAACAGTCTTCATCAAACTTCAACTGGAGTTTGGTATGATATGCAATGAAAATGACATTTTAATTTTTGGAGAATGCAACAAGCTGTCTAGCACTTAATTAATTTTATAAAAACAAAATAAAATTGATTGTTTCGTAAAGGTGGGGTAAGTGTTTTCTGGAAGCCAATATTGATATTTCAAATCACCAAAACAAACACGCCCCTACCCCAAAAGGGTCTCGCCCCTATTTTGATAGCTCCGCCCCACACGCAACCCAGGCAACGATTAGTTCTGTGAAACAAAGCAAAACCAATGTTACACCGTATCTACATCAGATATCACTATAGAACTCATTATAATCAGTGATGCTGTCTACACTGGATGCGGTGCGGCGTGACACGACAAATCCCCGACAGAAAACTGCTGCTTCATTCTATTTATGATGTACTGACACAAATTTCAAATGATTTTCAATGGTCGCTTTGTCGCATCCAGCTGTTGCGGCACGGCGCGAGACACGGTGTTACTCACCTATCGAGAAGAAACAAAGCAACCTCGGCATCCGATCGCAGTCACGTTAGCTACATAAGCAACAACTAAATCGTTTCAGTTTGATGATTATACCATCACATTCTGATACGGAATACTTGAATTATTTTTTTAGAACATTTTTAAAAAAGTACTTGCCAGTAGTGATGTTACGTTCAACACCGAAGCTTCGAAGCTTGTAACAAAAAACCAACACATTTCACATTGAAGCACTGTATCGGAGCTGGATTCGTTTTGAGAAAAGCATGTGATCTATGATGTCCGAGATGTCCGAAGCCTGAAAACCACGTGACTGCTTCAGTATCTGGTTCAAACGAAGCGAACCTCAGCGCGTTCAGCGCGTTTCATGTTACATTATAATGTGTTAGCATTGTTTTTTTGTTTATTTTTAATCGTAATTTATATATTGACCTCAAAAATTAACTTTGGCCATAAAATAACAGTATAAGGACTGAGGCAGAGTTAAAATAAACAGATCATAGATTTAATTTATGAATTT